GGGTGATGAGACGCAGGTGATGACTTATAACACCACCTATTATTCACGGTCAGTGCAGTTTTGAGATCCCTACTTGGGTGTTTCAACCTCCACTCACCCCTTGCCTCATGTGACTTCAACAACTCATGTAGGGGGGGGTAATGTTTTACTAAGGTTTTACATCTTGTTCTCAGTGACGTTTTCCATACCTTGGTTCATGTGATGACTCACATAATCAAAAGTGGGCCAGCGACTCTCATGACCACCTCCAAGAGGAAAGCCTCCAATAGCTTTTTTTTTTTTTTTTTTAAATCATCTGGAATTCTCTAGCAATTACTGTAAAACTGAAGAAGCCTCTTGGATAAGGGTCTATGTTGTCAATAAAAACACAAAACTAGTGCAGTTTTCTTCTTTTCGATCTCTCATGGATATATTAAAAAGAAATAACTAATTTTATTTCACAAGCTACGTTGGAGTTCTCTTACTTCTACATTGTTCTGCTGCATTGTTCCAGAGGTCTCCACTCTCGTTCATGCCCTGTGATGGGCAAAGACATTTAAAGACCTTTGCAGAGTGGCCCTGGCAGAGTGACATGGCAGAATCAGTTGTGATCTCTTGTGGGAAAATGTTCCAAGCATCTTGCCCGGGATGATGATTTATCCAGTCAGGCAGAAGAGGGGGGTTGTTCAAAGCAAATAAACCGCTCTTAGGTTTTCCAGAGTCGTTTGTCACTCTTCAGATATAGACTCTCGAGTAGGTACAAGGATATTATTCAAGCTAGCATCACAAATTTCACCTTCCTGTCCATGGAACCCCTGCCATTGAGAAATTATTCAAGTTTAAATGACAAACATTTAATTCAAAAAAGAGCTGTTGTGTTTAAGTTACAGTTTCTTATTGAACAAACAATTTAATAACCTGGGTTTGGTTTCATGTCCCACAAATGCACAGTGTAGTGTATTTACAATGTGTGCAATGTCCAACAAACCTGAGCAGCAGTGTCTATGAAACTGTAGTAAAAAGCAAGCTGAAGGTTGTGAAGGGTTAGGTTTGTGTATTCATGAACCTGAAACAAATAATGAAACCTGTCATTGATCTTTATCACAAAAGCTTCAGTGATCATGTTTAACACATCCCAAACACATCAGTACCTTCTCAGATGCTTGAGCGTGGTCTGCATTTAGGTTAAATGCTAACTCTATCAGTTTCTTCTTCTGTTCCATATCGTTTACTATTATATTTTTTTATATTAATTTTTTTATATTTTCTTTATTTTTCTTTCTATTTTTTTTTTTTTTTTTTTAATTTTTATTTTAAATTTTTAATTTTTAAAAAATACACTCTTCTATATTTAATTTTTTTTTTTTCTATTTTTTTTTTTAATATTCTATTTTTCTAATCTATTTTTTTTTTTTTTTCGGTCTTATTTTTTTATCTCTTTATTATTTTTTTTTTTTTAATTTTTTTTTTTTTTTATATTTTTTTGTTTTTGTGTTTTTTTATTGTGTGTTTAGGTTAAATGCTAACTCTATCAGTTTCTTCTTCTGTTCCATATCCCCTGTCCCACACAGAAAGCTGCGCTATAATTCGCAGAGCAGAGGGAATAAAAATATTTTTTATAAGAATAAAGTTCATACTACACTATAATCTCACTCTAATGCCCCACCTGAATCCAGGCTTTGATTCTCTCTGGGGTGCTGTGAACTTTCTGCAGATAAGGCTTGATTCTAGCCCAGTCCTTCCTCAGCTCTTTATACATCTCTTTCAGTCTGGTTTCATTCACTGGGTTGTTCATGTTTTCAGAGTTCCCGGCCTGTAGTGCAATGTCAACCTCTCCTGCCACTCTGGTAATAGTAATAGATAATGTTGAAATTGTAAAATAAACAGATGGTGTTAAATCCACGTTTCAGTACAGTACCTGTCTTTGAATGATTTCAATTCTTCTTCAGTTTCTTTATGTGCAGATCTGTGGAATAGTGTTTGGTACAAATAGTATTAATATGTACCTCTGTCATTTACATAAATGAATAATAATAATGGATTGCATTTATATAGCGCTTTTCGGGACCCTCAAAGCACTTTACAATGCCACTATTCATTCACTCTCACATTCACACACTGGTGGAGGCAGCTACAGGTGTAGCCACAGCTGCCCTGGGGCAGACTGACAGAAGCGAGGCTGCCATATCATGTCATCGGCCCCTTTGGCCATCACCAGTAGGTGAAGTGTCTTGCCCAAGGACACAACGACCGAGACTGTCCGAGCCGGAACTCGAACCGGCAATCTTCCGATTACAAGACGAACACCCAACTCTTGAGCCACAATTGCCGTATTGGGTATTTTCGGTTCCCCAGGTGGTTCAAATTTGCTGTATCATCTGAAAACTATGAATTAATAATTTGTCATGACTTTTGAATTCCTTAGTTGCCAAAGAAGCTATTTTGAATCTAAAAATAAGAATACATCCACCAAACTAATTCTTTGTTCACAAGCATACAGCCACACCAACAGAGGAGTTCCTTAAAGATGAAAACTGGGGAAAATCAAATTTAAAGGCAGCAAGTAGTCATAGAGGTAACACATTTGGAGAAGACGAAGGAGATTGTTGTGGACTTCAGGAGAATGCACACCCAACATGCTCCTCTGACCATTGACGGAGCGTCTGTGGAGAGAGTGAGCAGCACCAAGTTCTTGGGTGTGCACATCACAGAGGATCTCTCCTGGACGTACAACACCACAGCACTGGCCAAGAAATCACAGCAGCGTCTCTTCTTTCTCCGCAAACTAAGAAGAGCAGGAGCACCAGCCCCCATCATGTACACTTTCTACAGAGGCACCATCGAGAGCATCCTGTCGAGCTGCATCACTGTGTGGTTTGGAGCCTGCAATGCGTCCTGTCATAGAACCCTCCAACGCATAGTGAGAGCTGCAGAGAGGATCATTGGTGTCTCTCTCCCCTCCCTCCAGGACATTTACAGCACCCGTCTCACTAAAAAAGCCCTTTGCATAGCGGCTGATCCCACGCACCCAATGCAAAGCTTCTTCAAGCTGCTGCCGTCAGGGAGGAGACTGCGGAGTCTCCAGGCCAGGACCAGCAGACTGAAGGACAGCTTCATCCATCAGGCTGTCAGGAAGCTTAACTCCCTCCCGATTCTGCCCCCTCTCCCCTCTTCTCCTCCATGGTCTCACTGAACTCTGTCACATACACACACACACACACACACACACACACACACACACACACACACACACACACACACACACTCTCTGACTCACTCACTGGCCTGCACCAGTTACCAGTCACTTTGTGGAGCATTGGACTGCCATTACCTCATAAGACTTTGTTGTTATACTATCTCTTACCGTACATTACTAAATCTCCATTTGCACTATTTGCCTATTTGCACTACTCTGCCTGGTTTACACTCAATGTCATTTACCCTTACCTGAATATTGTATATTGTATATTGCATAGCTTTCTTGTTAATTTGTATTGTATTTATTTAAATTTTTACTTTTTAATTATTTTATTTGCATTTTTTAATCACTCTCTTATATTTAAATGTTCATTTGCTATTTCATCTAGGGTTTGAGAGTAACGAAATTTCTATTCTCTGTATGTCCTGTACATGTGGCAGAATTGACAAATAAAGTTGACTTTGACTTTGACTTTGACTTTGACATTTAATAATAAGTTATGAACATGAATACCTAGATACGACACATTGTCGTGCTCTAACATTAAGGTATTACGTTAATGTATCTCTGTGCCAAGATTGTTGTCTGTTAATAAAATCATAAATAAAATAATAAAAGTTGACTGTCACCACAGCCTGGATGTGGATTTGAAACATTTTTAAGTCTTTTATGCATTGAAATGTGTTTACCTTTCTTCTTGGAGTTTCTCTTTATAAAAATATATATATATATATATATATATATATATATATATATATATATATATATATATATATATATACATATATATATATATATATATATATATATATATATATATATATATATATATATATATATATATATATATATATATATATATATGTGTGTGTGTGTGTATGTTGATTGACAGCGGATACAAATACTGTTTCATGGGTGTCTATAAATATTGCAGAGATATAATTACCCTGCTTTTCTGAGGCTCAATTGGTAAAATGTGTTCACCTCCGTCAAACTATTTAAAAAAGTAAACAGATTAATCTGTTAAAACACATCAGATCACAAATTCATCATTAAACAATAACACATCAACACTTTTAAACATAATGCCAAACATATAGAAACCAACACTAACTGTTTAAATTCTACATTTGTCTTTCAAATCAATTTTTTTTTTGTAGGCCACTGTTAATAAGCAATATTGCAAAGTTATTGATCAGTCACACCACTCTGCAAAAGACTGCAAAATTTCACAGTTTAATACTTTAACAATGTAAGTGCAAATATGTTATGTGATATTTCACCAGATTATACCAACAGTACCTCTCTTTGACTGAATTCAGTTCCTCCTCATGACGTTTCACCACCATACTGTGAAACAAATATACAGCATGAACAGATAAAACAGGATGAAATAAAAAGAGGAAATGAGAAACTTGAGGCACTTGTGAAATATGAGAAAAAAAAGAATGTTTACTTTGCCTCACAAAGTTTTTTTCCCATCTCAGCCAAACTGTTTAAAAACATCATAGAGAAGTTATTCACAATATACAATATATTCACTCAGCCCCTTGGTTAGAAATACATCTGTATCTACAGTTTTGTGTACAAGTCCACCACCGGATTCAGCAGCTTGTAGAACATGCTTTAGCAGCAGTAACCTGCAGTGATGTAAGATAAGATAAAAAAAACTTTATTAATCCCTCGGGTGGGTTCCTCTGGGAAATTCGGTTCCAAAAAAGCACAGCACCGACAGAAGTTACAGAGTTACAGAATATTATATATAAATATAAATATATACACACATAGATAAAATATACAAAGGGGATAAATAGAATAAATAGGAATAAAATAAAAAATAAAAATACAAGTGAATTGCACATTTCAAGTATAGTCTATTGCACCGTTGACTATTAACAAAAAAGTATTGCACAAAAGGTATTGCACAGTGAAGTGAAGAGGCAATACAGCTTAGTTGTTCCCCACTTTATCAAGTCTTGTGCTTTGTTCACCCCTAGCTTTGCAAACCTAAGCCATTTAGTTATGTTATTTTAGATAGAAGAGGATTTATCTTGCAATCCTTACAAGCAGCCGTGCTTGTTCAGTCTTTTTCTAATTGTGATGTCATTAATGTTAACCTTTAACCTGCTCACTGAGGCCTGTAGAGTTCCTGGGTTTGTTGCACAACCTTGTGATGAATTTGCTGCAACACACACTCCTAGGAAGAATGTGTTGTTCTCTAGCATATTGACATGAACTCTCCATATGTAAATGAATCACCCCTACTTGTGAACTGAAATATTCTTTAACCTCCTAAGACCCGAACTCTTCCATGGCATGCATTTTTAATTTCTCTTTGATATTTGGGCATATTGGGACCTGATGAATGTAAAAACAAAGAATTACCAGATTTTTTTTTTTTTTTAGGTTTTTGTTTCTAAGAAAAATGAGAGCCACATATGAGGATATTCGTTTAAAATTTCAATAGAACAGTAGCAGTATAATGTATGTATCACCTGTATGTGAAACCATCTTTGAACAGAGGCGGTGGTTTACGACACCAACTGTCTGCCATCTATAATCCAGTTTTGAGATCCCTTCCCAGACGCCTTAACGCCCATTTACATCCTGGGCCATCTGACCTCAGGAAATCACATGATAGGGTGGGGCCAGGTTTCACAATGAGCTCACCCGAGCTTAAAAACACTACAAAAGACCAAGGATAAAGGAGGACTAGAACTGCCTAACTTTCAGCACTACTTCTTAGCCAACAGGCTTCAGTTTATCTCAGGATGGCTAAAACATACCCTCTTAGATGAACCTTGGCTAGATGTAGAACAAGCACTTTGCAATAATCTAGAGATCTCAGACCTACCATTTATCAGCTCAAACATCCAACGACATGAATGCTTTAAAAGCATCAACATCAGCTCTTCTCTGACAGCATGGTGGGAGTTTCTAAAATTGACGGCGTCTTCATTAATCCCATGCAAACGTACACCTATCTGGAACAAGGCGGTGGTTTACACACCAACTCTCTGCCATCTA